TTTTGCGAAACGATTAAGAATTACTGGCATAAAGGGTTAATTTTGAATGGAAATGCTTTGCTCGTAACATTGATTGCGAAAGGAGATGTGAATCAAATCAAATGCAACGTGTCTAAATCAGTTTGAACGTTTCTTACCGTGCAGGCAGTCTAATTTCGCGTTTTTCTCCGCCACTTTATGTTCACTGTAGGGATTCAAATAATTATTGATTAGAAAGAGCCGAAAAAACGAAATGTTTGTTTTAAACCGGAAATGGCGACGATGGGAGGGACTTCGATGAAACAATAACGCGTCTCGTCTTAAATATTTTCAGAAAATAAATGAGTTTTCTTTCACGGCGAGCGTTCATTGTTTCACGCCGTTCCCTGCCGTTTGCTCACCGAATTCTAGTTAAATAATGAAAAAAGAAGAAACGAAGCGTTTTTTAAATTAAACGAGATAAACGAATAACTGTGTTAATCTTTTTTTCTTTCTTCTATTTCATTCTTCTTTCTAAACCTTGTTTCCTCTCCTATATATTTATATTCAATAAAATTTTAATAAGACTCAAAATATAAAACAATTATAATATTAAACACAAAAATACTTATTTGAATTGTATTTCAATTGTATATAAAAGAAATAATATTTTTTATTTTATAAAATTATTTTTTTCTAAAATTAAAAGTATAATTAAAATTTATATAAATAATATAAATATATATATATATATATAAAAATGATATAAATATAAAAATAATATAAAAATAAATGATATCGAAGATTGATTTATACAATTATGTTGCTAAAAATCCACCATCCACTGGCAATGTAATTCCGTTAATCATTGAGCTATGATTGCTTAATAAATATATTATTGCATCTACTACCTCGAACACTTCTGCAAAATATATAAGAATAGAATAAAATATAAATAAGAAAACTGATAGAAATCTATTCCAAAAATAGATTCCATAAATAAAATGATTACCTACCACCAAATCGACCTAATGGTATTTTGTCTAACATAGTTCGTGCTTTTTTCGGATTACTCCAACCTAATTTTCCCATTTCCGTCAAAATCACTGTAGGATTTATGGTATTCACTCGAATATTATAGGGACCAAGCTCAAGAGCCATTGTCCTGGAAAAGAATAATTATTAAAAATGAAATTTATTTAATAAATTTTATCAGCTATTAAAAAAAGGTAGGTAAAATAGATTATAGATACACATATAAATTATAGCATAATAGATAATTATAACTTAAGTTTTTAAATATTTTTTAAGATTTTTATAACATAAAAAATGCAATTCATTTTTTTTATTTATATTATAAAATAATATGTAATAATATTACAAGAAGAAATATTGAATATCTTGAAATAAATTAAAAACTAATTTCTTCTTACTTAGATAACATATCTACTGCTCCTTTCGAAGCGCAATAGACAACATGATCCTTCAAAGCTGCTTGGCTAGCTTGCGAAGAAATATTAACAATACTACCACCAACTTTTCTTTGAATCATATTTTTTGCGACTATCTGAGAAACATTCAGTATAGCTTTCACATTTACTGTAAATGTTAAATCAAAATCTTCTGGTGTAGCATCGAAGAAAGAATTAAGATATGCAACACCGGCATTATTTACTAAGAGATCTATAGGTAACACACTTTCAACGGCTTTTCTGGTGGCGTTCCAATCGCTGAGATCGACGCAAATAGATTGAATACGAGGATCTTCTGTACATAGCTTATCTAGATTGTCTTTTTTCTTGGACAGCGCTATTACTTGACCTTCATATTTGGAAAGACGAAGAGCCAAATCTTTACCAATACCTATGATTTAAAATATTTAATATGTTAAATAAATAATATCTTGTGAAGGAAAATAATTATGAATCTAACTATATATCTAGCATGAAATAAATATGAATGAATGTGATTTATAGTTGGTTTATAATCATAATATAATTGAAAAATTTCTTATTTATCAATTTAAAATACAATAATTTGAAATATTTTGTAAATGAAATGTAAGATAATTAAAAACAATTATAAAATAAGAATATTTATTAGAAAGATATTAAAAAATAAAAAAAATAAATATTGAAACATTCAGATAAATCTGATTCATAATATGAATCTTATAATATAAATTTATGATTTAATTATAATTAGTTATATTATAATCATAATTAATATAATTATTTATAATTAATACAATTAATAGAATTAGTACTAATCGAAATTTTTTATAAATATCACAATATATTCATGAAAAATTATTTTCAATGAGAACTATTGTATTTCAAGATTATTATTACATAACCAACTTTTATCAAATAAAAAATATAGCTCTTTCTGATTGGTTCAATTTAAATTCTTTATCAATAAAGAAACAAAAACAATGTTAGATTTAAAATAGAAAAGAATTTAAAATAGTATTTAAAAATTGTCTTTATTAACAATTAAAATTTAAATAAAAGAAAGTTTACTAAATTATGAATATATGAATTATAACATACCTCGTCCGGCTCCTGTTACAAGAATACGTTTTCCCACAAAATTGATGTTCATGGCTACGAATGCGTTACCAACTACTACGAAATATTGCTTGTTAAATATATTTATTCCATTTGACCCCACCAATAATCATCAACTATCTGTATTAATATTGATACTAAAGATGGCAGAATAAATTGGCGCTTATTCAAATATGTTTAATATTATTCATTATAATTTTAAAAATCTATAATCCAAAAATTAATTTATTGCAATCATTGATAAATTTTTATTTATAATTATAATTTATTAAAAATAAAGATAAAAATTTTATATCTTAAACAAAGTTTTAAAAAAACTTTTTTTTTTTCTTTTTTTAAATCTTTTTTTATATTATTTGTAAAAATGTAAATAATAAAAATAATAAAAGAAATAATAATAAAAATATTAATAGTGATATAAAAAGAAATTTATTTTTAAAAAATATTTTACAATTTTCATCTTATATATACTTTTAAATTTTTAGCAATTATTTGAGCAATTATTTTAAATGACCGATTATCGATTGTATTGATATCGTAAAAGATTCATATTATAAATGGTTTTCTGTCAAATTTACATTTATGTAAAAATTATACTACGAATATTATTTTATCTTTGAAATTTATTATTTTTATTTATAAATGAAATATATAAATTTTAACAAGTAATTCAGTCAATCAATAAATAAATTACGTATATTAATTCTTGAACATTAGTTATCATAAATTTTAACCTCTACAAAACGACATTTCTCGAAAAGCGTCGATGAATGTAATGTCATGAATTGTTATACGAATATGCAACGTAATAATGGTATTTTGAAAATTAATGTGGCGAATACAAGGTAATATATCTTAAAAAGTAATTTTTATTGAAATTATTAAATTCATTCATTAAAATTAACGTACAATTTATATAGATACTATTGCAACTTAAAATAATTATAATTTTCTATGATTTTTTAGGTTAGATTGGAATATGACATTTGTTCTGAAACTATTATAATTTTTATCTTCTTTATTTTTACAATAAATCCATTGAAGAGGAATATCAATATCAAAAGTTATAACAGAATTTTGTATGATTAAAACAATTATGAAAACAATGGCATCCGAGAATTTTTTTGGGAGTGGTGGCACATTTCATCGTGCTTTAATGTTTATGCTCAAACTTGGTTGGCAATCACGATTTCGTCTCCCAATTCTTCTAGTTATTGTACTTGTCGCTATGGATTACAGACTTCAATTAGAAATTGAATTTGAAGTTAATCCTGAGCAACATAATCATTTGTGATTTAAGAAAAATTATTTATAAGTTAATTCTAGATTATATCATTGAAGAAAAATTTAAATCATCATAGAAAGTGCAAAAAGCTATTTTTCACTCTATAATAAGAATTTCAAGGATTAAAGGGTATTGTTGATACTTTTATTCATATACTTTTGTTATAGTTTCTAATTGTTGCAGATTGATGCTGTATTAGAATTATATAGGCTAAGAAAATTATTAACTAATATTAATTAATATTTTTAATTATTCGTATATCATACTTAGAAAGAAGAGATAACATATAAGTTTTTGACAATGATTCAATCAAATTTAAAATATCAATTTGAATCAGTCATTATATAATATATAATTTTTACTTTTTGCTTTGTTCATTATAAGTTTTAAATATACAGTAGTCCTTCGGTTATTTGACTTAATAAAAACAAAAAATTTATAATAATTAAGGGGATCAAAAAATCAGGGAATTTTATTTCTTAGACCAATAGATAGATATAAACATATCATGGTACAGTTTTTACGATATGATATATATTATCTAATATATATTTAGGAAATAAATGTTAAATATTTATTGAATTGAATTTTTAATAGAAATGTGAATAATACAGCAATATATAATTCAATTATATTTCAAAAATTTTTATTTTTATTTTCATAAGAATAGATTTGGTTATATGATTTCTTTTTATTTGTAGTCAGAATAATTCATAAATTGGATAATCGAAGGACTACTGTAATTTTTTTATATTTATTCATTTATAATATAATATAACGTGTAACTTTTAACATTATATTAAGTTACATATCTTTGAGACTGATATTTAAATAAATATCTTTATAAAGATATAAGAAATATGAAAAAGATGTAATAAATGTGATCAAATAATATAAAATGGTACAGTTAATAAATAATCAAATTTCTTTGCACTGTACCTATTATCATATATTTAGTCATCAAAAATATCCATATAAATTATGTGAATATATCTATTTTTGCTAAAACATTAGAAAATCTATTTAAAAATATGTTAATAGTTTACTCAAAAGATTTATATAATTATAAAAGGCTGATGAAATATTAACATAATTTTAATTCCTTCAATGTATGTAATTTTTTTTTATTAAGTATTTTATATTCAAATAGATTTTTGAAACTTGATAACTATTAAGTGAATATACAGTCCTATATAATTTCATTTTTCACAAATGCTAATTTAAATAAAAAATAGTATGTAATTAAATTTTCTAAGTAAAATAACAATAATTTAGAATAATAATTTTAAAAATAATAATTTAGAATAAAAATACAAATGTATTTTTTACAAATATTTTATGAAAACAGAGAAAAATTATTTCATTTATTTCATGTTATTATTTAAACATGTTATTTCATATAATACTTCAATTTTTGTCAAATATTATATATTTACAAATTTCAATCTAATGTTAACTGTAATATATGAGAATTAGATTATTACATATGCTATGTATGTAGATTTAAAATAAATATTATATGATTAGATAATATTAGTTATTATAAATAAATAATAACAATTCTCGATTCTAATATTTTTAACATTTTAAATAAATGTTATTCGTTAATGTTGCAATTTACATTATAAACGATTTGTAAGCATTCATTTTAATTGTAAATGTAAACAGTTGTGTATTCAATATTACTAAAATAAAAAATTAAAAGATTATTTTTATAAACCTTTTTTCTATTTTTTTGCCGAAAAATTACTACATATTACACACATAGAATTTTTTTCCTGAATATAAGAATATAAGAAATAATATAAGAGCATCAAAATAATAAAAATTTTAAATTTAAATCTAACAATTATTATATTAATAAATTATTTAACAATTACAGGTTTCCTTTTCACATAAAACTATGATTTTACGCAGTCAATAAATTGTTATGTCGTAATTCGTACATTTTAAAAACAATCACAATCTTTGTAATGAATCGAAACCCTTTCGTAATCGAAAAGAAATTCGTTGGCTTCACAACGAATATAAAAGATGCCTGTGCTAGAACAATGGCAGTGTTACGTTTCTTCTTAATGACTTTTAAGCGAGAGATTAAGAATAAATTTTTAGCATGTAAGTTATTAAATTTATTAGTTTATTTAAAGATTTTACATTTATTTTATTTTATTAAATAAAATATAGCTATTTAAAATAATTGTTTTGTATAAAGGATATCGAATCTCGTTTATTTCATTATTTCAATTATAATTTCGGTTCTTGCAATGAGGACTTCTTCTGAAACAATAGAAACAGGAGAATTAATAAATAGTGTTCAATCTCCCATAATTATGGCACAAGATTATTCAAGCATGGTAATTGACCTATCTATTTATTATATTTATATAAGGATTTGTATTATCAGTTTTTAATTTTTCCTATTTTTATCTAAATTACTCAGATTAAATCAATGCAGGATAATTCATATGATAATGATGATAGACCATGTCAAATAGAATATCAAATTGTAAGTTCATCATTATGAATTTTATAATCAAATGGCAAATTCATTACTTCTTTATTAAAATTGAAATTATAGAAAAATTACTAAATTAAAATTAAATTAAAAAATTAGAAAATTATAATTAAATAAATTAAAACTAGAAAAATGTGATATATTAAATTTTGCCATCTGAATTCTAATATTTTTCTAAAATAATGACAATATAACAGAAGAATATTATTACTTCACTTGCAGACTAAGAAAAGGGCAGGAAAATGTATAAAACTAAGTCATGGAGTAACTGGTTGTGTTTCTGGTGATTATATAAATCCTTTTCATCCTGATTGCTTCTAAATTCTTATACAAATAATTTAAAAAAAAAAAAATCAGCCTAAAATTAGTTATCTAACCTAAAAAAATCGCCACTTTATGTTGTAACGCTTCTATCAATAAAACAGGTATCTTTCCCCTATATTTTCGTGTTAATCAAGATTTATCATCAGCCATTCGTTTTCCTTACTTTCTTCCGTTCCATCGAATGTTAATCAACCACCCACGAGTATTCAAGTTCTTGAAACTGATTTCATTTAAGAGTTGGCTTCCCAGGGTTCGACATGTTAATCTTCATGAAGAAAAGTGATTTCCGATGTACGTGACAAAGAATAACTACTTCAGTTTTAATTTCATTAAAATCTTATGGACTTATGGGGGTTTGCGGTGGGGTTGTCGCTATAAAATCCTTGGAAAATCGAGATCCCATTTCTTCAGAGTTGTGAACTAACTGTATAGAAATGCTTAGAAAGTTCACTAGTACTTGGGCAATTCTGCTTTTCTGTGGCTTCCCGCCATGGAGCTGTGGAAACTTTACTTCCAAGAATTTTGGTAAGATTGGAAAAATCTTGAAATCTTTTCTAATTTATTTTTATTTAATTTGGCAAATTTATTTTTTATTATCTTTTTTAATAATTAAAATGATACAAAAAGTTATTTTATATTTTGTTTATTTTATTCGAAAAATCAAAGTATGTTTTAATATTATTACACATACAATTTAAATTTGACAAATTATATATTTAGAATTATAGATTTAGAATTTAAAGTTTTATTTTTCATTTATCATATTATTTATCATATTATCATAATATATATATTATATATTTATCAATAACAGATTCAGCAAAATGGGAACTCTTGAAATTTTTGACATTTTTAAAGGAGAAAAAAAATATACAAAAAATATAGGATTTAATTAATTTTATCTGTTGCAAAATCAAAATAGGAATAATAAATAAAATAATTTCTATTCTTGAAAATATCAAGAACATTTTTCTGGTAGCTTTGAATATTTTAGTAATATTCTTCTTTATTTTTTTTTTTTAAGTGATAAAAAAAATTATTCTAATTCATTTTTAAAAAATGCAAAACATTTATAAATACATTTATAATTATATTTATAGTAAATTACGTAGTAAATTTAAATTATCTTTCCTATTTACGAATATTATTCCTAAATATTTCCATATATTATATTATTCTATGTATTTATAAAAAATTAGATAAAAAAATTATAAAATTCAGTGACTTCTTTAAACTTGTTGTTTCTTTAGTTATCTATTAAATCCGTCACTGTTTATTACAGAAGAAAAATTAGTCAAATTGTCTAAAGTGATAGAATACATTCATCAAAGACCTCAACAAATGAATGCCGATGTTACGTTATCTCTAACTATTGTTCAAGGTAAAATTATAACAATATTGTAAATTTACAATTTTAACAATTATCTTCGAAACATTGAATACATCATTTCATGTTATTTTTTACAGCTAACATTGCTGCTATTTTTTTACATAAAAATGCACAATTCTTGACCGATAAACATCGAAATATACTTATGACGATTTTAAAACTTTGTGATTTAACAAGACGAGATTTATTAAATAAAATTGTTTTAGAGAATGAAGATATCCGATTATGTAAGAAAATTTAATTTTAACGAAAGAAAAAAATATTATCGTAAAAAAAATTTATTTTCGAATACAATAATGAAAACGGTCAATTCATAGTGCACGAAACAATAAATTATCCCAATTTATGGATGAAAAAGATATCATGGCAGCATGGTGCTCTAGTAAAAGGGAGAGCCAATATCGGATCTTATCGAGATATACGAGATCTGATAATGCAAGGAGCGCCTAAGGAGGAAGAAAGCGATCGATGTCTCGCTGAAATCGTTCGAAATAAGTTCAATTCGGATCATAGAATTCCTAGTTTATGCCTTGAAATATTAACTACTCGAGAATCCACCAAAGGATATCCTCTCACTCATCGATTATTAATCGTTCAAATTGCCAAAATAGTTAGTATATCATTACAGAATTTTTTCAATTTGTTCTTCTATACATAGGATTATAAGTATCCAAAAATTTGAGAAATTATTCTTCAAGCAAAAATAAAAATTAAGAATAAAAAAAATTACATTTTTGATTTTATCATGAATAATAACTAAAAAAAATTTTTTTATTTTTATTTTATTTTCGTTTAAAGAATTATTCTTTTTAACATTTGTAATTAAATATATTGTGCATCTAATTAAACATAAGTTCTTTTCAGATGGAATGTGATCAAGATCTTCCATCTTCAGAATTAATACTTTTTTATTGTTCTGCAATTTTCCAAGATCTGATCGATATCGAAATAGCTGGATTTCCTTATCAAACACCAGATTTAATGATGGAACAGGGTAAAGAATAAAAAATACTTCAAAATTTTTTAAATTTTGTATCATTATTTTTTTACACAATTTCTTTTCTTTTGTTTTGAAAGTTGTTTTATGCGGCATAGAAGGTTTTCTTGAATTCACTGATAAGCATTATGAACGATTAGTATTGGATTGGTCACATCCTAGCGGTTGCTTCAGTTCTTTCGGGTACGTATCTTCAATGATAGATTATACTGTTTTTCTCGCATTTCACCTTTGACTTTGGTTGAACTTTTGGATACAATCGATCATAAAAATATATATTTTACTTTCACAGAAATAAATTTCTTAGTAGTAACAAAATGCGTGTGATACGAAGAGCTTCGATGCAAACTGATTTTGGCTGTGATAATCACGCTACTGGCTTAGCCGCTGCTTCTCTTTCTTTATTTATTCGCAAAAGTTTAGAGAATACGTATGAGTAACAACGGAATTATTCATCGTTTACATAAAAAGTGTACTAGCATATATATATAGATACAACTTATATATATATATTCTATATATTCTACATATATATAGAATAAAATTTAAAGTTGCATTTTCAGAGAAAAATAATAAAATTCTTGTAGATATTTTGTTACTTAAGAAACATTTCGAATATTTCAAATGTTTCGCAAAATATTTCTTTAATTTGATATTTATTGAACGTTTTCTACGAATAATACTACTATCAATAAAAAATTTCTCATTATCACTTTGTTGAGAACACACAGCTGAATGAGAGAAATGAAGAGAATATAAAGAAGAAAATAAAGGAATAAAAAAAAAAAATAAAACTACAAACAAATAATAATTTATTTCTCATAGTTTGTAACAATAATTACAAATGTATATTACGCGGTAGAAAGAATAAAAGAGAAATAAAAGTGGGGAGCAGGAAAAATAAATAAAGTCAGTCGTTAACCTTGCGTAGGAGACTGGTTCTTGCAGTGTGGCAACGCGTGTATTTTTACATACGCTTAATATTTTCGTTATCCTTGAAAATGGAATCTATTTTCATCTCGCTAGGGATCAGCCTCGTCTTTTTGATATCGCAATAACGAATCGACAATAATGTCGGTTCTTGAAAAAAAAAACGCATTGTTTTCTTGTAGATCCATTTGAAACGCGTTTCATAATTGTTTTTATACCCTCGAACGATGCTCGTTTTTCGGTTCAGTATTATATACGGTATTTATTCGTGATATGCTCTTATCGCGGATATATGATCGAGAGTCTCCTTTGAACCCAGTGAAGCGAATAATTTCAGAGCAATACAATAGTTCATAATAAATTTCTTTAATATTTCCTCAATCTCTCTTCGTTTTTCGTTGTCATTCTTTACGATTGCCGTTAAAGGTTGGTAAACATGAAATGAGGTTAAAATTTTTGTGTTTCCAGCAGTGAAAATATAAATAAAGTTTTATCTTATTTGTAATCTCATCTATATGAATAAAATTAGAAAAAACTTTGATATTTTCGATGTATGAATGATTCATTTTGATTATGTATTATATATTTCGTTTAATAATTTAATTTTTATTTTAAAAATAGAAAATATATTTATGACATATATGTACATAATATAAAATTTCAACTTTTTATGCAAAAAAAATTGTTAAAAATAAATATATAAAAAATATTGAATCATTCGAGGGATCATCTTGATGCCATAAATATATTCTAATCTACTCATGACTATTAATCTTATTTTACAAATATGGTTCTGCGGTTTTCGATAAATTCTTTATCGACGAAAGGCGTTGTCTCGTGCTTTGGTGCGATTGTGCTAATTGATCATTAAGTATATAATTTTTCCCAAAGTAATTAGACTATTCTTTCATATATAATTTATTTTTATTATTTTTTTTTATTTTTTATTTTAAAAAAAAATAGTCTAATTATTTTGTGAAAAGAAAATATCTCGATCATTTTCTTCTTTGTGAAATTATCGATTTGTTTTTAAGGTCTTCGATAATTATAAGGTCTTCCATATGGGTCAATTCGGCTGCTCATTTTATCATACCTTAATTGTTGGAAATAACTGTACACTACCAACCACAAATATACATAGATTACTGAAAAAAAACAGGATTAAGGTTAATTATAAATCAATTTATATTTGAAACATTTTTTAAAATGATCAAATTATTGTGTTTAAAAAAACTAAAGATTAATATAACAAAATCTTTTGTTTATATTTTAAATATTGTTGAATTTCTGTAACTCGAAATTCTTTAAAATATTACAATTTTGTTTATTCATATTCATTCCTGTAAAAATTTCTACAATAGAAGCTAGAATAAATTTATATAACTCGAATTTTATTATATTTAATTTAAAATTTGAAGTCAAAATAATTCCTTCTCTACAATTCTACAAATCAAATTTTTATCCCGACTGCCTCGAAGAATGTTATAGAATGTATGAATAACTCATTCTTCGGAAACTTCGAAGATAAAATTCCCATAACCTCTTTTACCTTGAGATTCGAGATACCAAGATTCGATTGTATTTTTTAAAGTATTTTCAATGCTTTTTAATTGGATTTATAAATGATTTTAATTTATAATTTATAAGAAAATATTCAAATAAACTAATAAAAATTCACAAGAAAACAAAATAAATAAAAATAAAATACTACAAAATATAAAAGTAACTACACACTACTCACCAATGGTTAGGATGCCAATAATGAGCCACAGAATTCCAATTATTACGTCATGATATACGAAGAACATGATGGACGTATAGAGGACACTCACTAATAAACCAACTGCTAAGATTAAACCCAAAACTACCCATGGTAGCATTAAAAATGTTTTTTTCTAAAAAAGAAATATTTTAATTTATATAAATTTAAATAATCAATTAATTAAACAAATTTAAAAAATTTTATAATAAAAAATTTTATTCTATAAACTTGAAATTGACTTAGATTTTACCTTAAGAGCGCCAACTATAAGCAATGTTGAAATCAGAATCGTCATACACAAATTTATCGCAAAAATGATCCTGACGATGCTCTGGTCTACAATGTCGATCAATATTGTTTTCCATTCGACATTTAAAGTAAAGATTAAGATCAATGAGATAATTGATAAGACCTAATAAGAATCGAATAAATGTTTCTATAAAAAATTTTTTTTTGATTAAATATAATATTAAATAAATAATATAATAAAATTATATAAATAAATAAAATATATAAATAAAATTAATTATTTTTTATCATATACTTACTATACCCAATATTCCAGTGAACAATGTCCCCGTTTTTAACGAATAACATTTGCAACACGTCGTGAGTTGCATTCTGAAAAAAGAAAAATAATATTAAATGATGTTTCAAAAAAAATTAAGATGTTTTTAATCTTTCTGTTATTTTTATAATTTTTTGCAAGTATATTTTGACATAAATCCTTACAAAGATAACAGCAAGATTAACAAATTTTAATAATTTTCGATAAATTTGATATGAAAAATTTATTTATATTTTTAACTAAATATAATATGTTCAATTAAATGTATTAAGAAATTTAAGAATTGTTTGTTTAGTGAGACAAAAATTAAAAAAAGAAGAAAATTAAGGAAAGCTAAATTATAATTGAAGAAAAAGTATACAAGATTTCTAAAATGATTTTTAATCACTTAAAAATTAATTAATTAATTTTTATAGCCTTTAACAAGTTTTCCAAATTTATATTGTTAAGATTAATTATTTTATCGATCTGTTTTTTCTTCTTAGAAATATCAAACAAGTATTCTAGATAGAATTTAGATCACAGGTAGAATTAGAATCTGTGATGCTTGCGTATTTTTAAAATTGATCGACAACCAATTCCTCATTCCTGATACAATAACATTTTTTGTTTTCTCTTTACGAATTCTATTTTATTTATTATTTATGAGTTATGAGTTGTGTATATTGTGTAAATTTCAATATTGAATTTTTAAAAATTTTTTAATGTTTTTCATTTTTTATTATGATTAGCAAGAGAAAAGTTTTTACTATATACATTACAAAAATATATGTTAGATTTTCCAAAATTTTTACATACTCTTAAACAAAAAAAATAATTGCAAAAACATTTATTAAAATTTATTATATTGTACGTTATAAATATTTTTAATTTCTTTATTTAGCTATATTTTTTATTAAAATTATGACTCAATAGTTCAATTTCATCGTTTAAGTCATTTTTATTGAATAAAATGTCATAAAACGTTTCCTTTTCCTTTCTTCGAGTCATCATATAACATCAACTATGTTCTCATACCCATATAATGTGATCAACGCATTAGCATACGCGATATTACATCAAAGGTGACGCTACATTATACCTAACCTTACTCATTTTTATTTCAGTTCGACCACGACATAAAAATTTCTAAATGTTGCTATTATGCAAATGAGAACATTGGGTTTGTTGCATCATCAAAGATACAAAGTTTATTTTAATGAAATATAAATATATAAGAAATACAATATTCAGAATTTGTTTTTAAAATTGTTTTTTTAAATTAAAAATCGTGTCATGTAACTATGAAAATTAGAGTAAAGATATGAAGATGAAAATTAGATATTGAATTATTAGATGAAATCAAATCCTTAATAAAGTTTTTATATTTTTTTTGAAAATGATAAAGTTTGATTTAACAAATTTAATTTTTTGTCCATTTTATCTGTCAGAAAATGAGATAAAAATAATTACAATTAAAATTTTATATTAATAACTTCTTAATTTATTAATTTAAATTTTTCATATTATTGTCAATAATTGTTCTTTTAATTTTTTTGAAATCGAGCGGATTGGCAACAATGATCATAATCTTGAATATGTGGCATTAAAACGACGATATTTAATTCGCGGCACGCCGAGAATAGAGAGAATATGGGTCATTGGCATAGGTGGTCAGCATCTATTTTCGCCTGTTTGTCGATTCGCCTCTTTGGTCTATCCATTGCTGACCTTTCTTTTCACGTTTGTTATTCCTTCAGATTGTGATATCCGGTAGCCATATTACCACATCATCTTAACTGAATAACCCTACTAAATAAATTACCGACCTCATTTATCAATTGAGACTTTAATGAATTAATCAATTTTTATGATAAAATAAATTAATCGTGAAAATCTTGATTAATTTAATCTTTAAATTTTTAAATTTAAATTTATAAATTATATTATTTACATTTATTATTTTATTAATTTAAAGTGTTTATTTTTTCAAAAATTTTTGAAGAGGATTAATGATTTTGTTTTATATTTAAAAAATATTATTTTGGTCTTAATATACTTAATATACTTAATATATATAATATACTTAATATTTTTAAATATTACTAAATAAAAATTTAATCTTCAATTTTTTCGAAGAAAATCTTAATAGATTAATTAAATTAAATTGATTTAATAAATTTTTTTAATTAATTAAATTAATGGATTTCCAATTTCTTTAAAT